GCTACACAAAAAAGGCCAACAATTAAATATTGCAATGTGGGAAAATACAGCATACCAACTTAATTATAATATAGGAACAGTAGCAAGTGAGGCAATGAAGGCATTTTTATTCTTTCTTTGGAAAATCAAATGCAAACTTTTAATTGCAATGCATTATTTAACTTCATCTGAATCACACAAATACATGAAATGAATTAATGTTGTGGACAGAGTTCATTCTTAATTTTGAATCATGTATATTAACTCTAGACAACTGTTCCAAAATAAGATGCCAATAAAAATCTGTTTTATCTGCATGTTTTGCAGGAACAACAGCGGCACCTGTTTTCTCCTCAATCAGATAGAACAGTGAAGATGGCCACAGAGCGGCAGCTTAAAGACGATTGCGCCAGCAAAGAGAATGCAGACAAGATCAGTTTCGTTGACATGATGGACTAACAATGCCTCAGGAGGCTGAGGCTTTTTTTGCAAATAATTGCTGACAGTTTGCCACCATCTTCTCAAATGCAACTAGAGATGGGCAATAAATGCCAGCCAGCCAGCAACGCCACGTTCCATGAGTGAATAAAAAAAAGTTATTCTTGTTTTGGACTAAACTGAAAAATGGAACCTCTGTACTTGGCAAATTGTTTACAGTCTTTGTATACAGTGCTTAGTATGATCCAAATTCTTCTCAATTGTGATATGCATTAGGATTATATTAAGTAGTGCTTGAAATCAATGTTTGCAGCAGGTATGTGAAACCATGTGGGAAATTTCATTTTATGATACGCTATAGGGAGTAATCAAAAAAATCTATTGCAGCACAACTGAGTGAAGTCTGGGCCTCCCTTCAAATACAGTATTTCTTTTATTGAGAAGAACACAAGGGAAAAAATTGGCTGACCGAAACTTGATTTTCTTTTTAACCTAAACCTGGAGTTTTATCTTTTAAACTTTTTTATATCACAGAACTGCTTCCAAACCTTTATGAGACACTGCCATTGTTCGCAATTTCACTGCTTGCACTCAGCTGACACAACACTAGAATAATTGCATGGTTACTGAAGAGGCTACTGTATTAGAATGCTCACTATAAAATTGTGTTTACAACTTCAGCACAAGGCCCTTCTAAATATCAGGTAACATTAATTGCAAGTCAAAAACATCAAAATGTCCTCACTAGCTGTTTAGGGAAAATAAAACAAGAGCCAAGTGAGATAAAGTTCTAATAAATTTCGATGCAACTCCAGAAGCCATCAGTCATGCTACAAGTGGCTAGTTTTAGTCATGATGAGTGGATAATCTCACCTAAAAACAAGGGTGTCCCCTGCAAAGTTGTGTTCCTGCAGAAATTTGGGCATATCCTTTTAAAACACTAGCATCCCATGCATGTCATGGCTTATCAATACTTTTCCTGGTGCCTCCTAAAGTAATGCTGTAATATAAATAGAATCAGCGGAACCAGCAGGAGTGAGCTATCCATTATTTTCCAGAAGGATGGTTCCTGGTAAACCGTCACAATGTGCTCTTTTGAGTTTTAAGCAGTGTTATGACATTTATTTTATTTTCTCTATTTCCTGTTGTTCTCTTTGTCTACAATAGCGTGTTGTAAAATGTCATACAACCTAAATGTGGTTGCACCTGACGCATTACGTTGACATGTTGAGCAGATAAGACAGAAATCCCAAGACAATACTTTGATGATTTGGTCAACCTGATTATAAGAGTGTCATGCTTGAAGCATATTTAGTACATCATTTCTGTTCAGTGCATTGCATTTACATTGCATTGTGGTTCAGAAATGCTGGCACTGCTCCTCTTTCACACACATTGCAAATAAAACCCTCATCAGCCAATGCTGGAATTAAATAGGCGCCAAATAAAAAGAACAAGTGTATATTGTAGACAGGCAGGAATCCAAAACTGGGAGAAAAAGTATAAATAATTGAAATAAAACAGTTATGAGTCACACTATTGCAAAATCTGTATTTTTCCAACTAACTCCATGCCCACAATTTGGATGGTAAAACATTATGAAAACTCAACTACAGCAGTAAGTTATACACGAGATTTCTACTTGAAGATAAACCAATATTTCTGGAGCATATTAGGTCAGTGTACACAAATGCTGCAGATTTAAGTTTTTTGATTTTGCCCATTTTAACTTACAACAGACAGCTCAACTGAAAGTTATACAAAGCAGCAAATTATTTTGGAATTTAAACACTCATTTTAAGAATTAATGGCACTTCTTGCTATATGAAACATCCGCAACAACTAGAATGGTACAGCTTCCAGCTAAGTAAGGACGTCGCTCAGTCCCTCACAGTAATAATACACAATGAACATACAAAAAGAGACAGGCAAAACCTGCTGGTACAACATGCTTGTTCCTCAGAGAAACAGTGCAACTAAGGATCATTATTCCTAACACCACTCACTACAAAGCAAGGAGCTTGTGTTCAGCCTTTAAAAATACTGGTTAGGTATCAGATGGGAAATGGATGGCAAATCTGAGCACCACACATTAATAAGCTTAGTCAAAGCCTGAGAGAGGAAATCTAATCGAATTGTACCAATGATAGAAGACATCAATTAGTCCAAAACTAGACTGCATAGGTTTAAGCTAAGAGGGGAAAGATTTAAAAGGGACCTGAGGGGCAACTTTTTCATGCAGAGTGGAGCGTGTATGGAACAAGCTGCCTGAGATGGTGGTGGAGGCGGGTACAATTACAACATTTAACGGTCATCTGGATGGGTTTCGAGGGATATGGACCAAGTGGGACAGATCAGTTTAGGATATCTGCTTGGCATGGACAAGTTAGACCAAAGGGCCTGGTTCCATGCTGTATAACTCTGACTCTAATTGGGTTGAAAATCAAAAGGCACAGAGTCATGCAACAGTGCAGCAACTGAAAATTCTCTGATCAGACCCATGGACAAATCAATTCTGTGATTTGCACACAAAAATTTAAAGAGACTATGCAGTTAAATATGTCAACTGTATACTCCAGAACAGAAAGTTTGTTGACCATACTCCCTACTCATTATTTCCCCATTTAATTGTCTTTGAAATCCTAAAATGATACACATGTGCTTTGAGTTAATCTTGCCCATAATACATTGCTGCAATAGTAATTCAGCTCAGTCCAAATGGAGCTACAATTTCAGCCACATGCAAAAAAATCCGTAATTAATTTTGACCAAATAAATCCCACTTTATTCCAAATTCCAAAATTCAATTCATTTACAAATTTAACTGAACATGTCATCATGATCTTAAACTCCAAAGAAGTTGCCTCAAAATGTCATTACCAAGGTCTTTTCCAGCT